ACGAGCATGCTGAAATGAAAACTGGGGACTTGGGGGTACCTTTGGAAATAAGCAAAGATTTAAGGGGTAAATATAGAAGCAGCCATTGTTTTAGGAAGACATGGTAGATTCAGGGGTGTAGATTGAAAAGGATGTAGTTTCATTTGAAACTAACTTAAAAGTTTGGATGATTTATATATGATTAACAGTAGATTGAAAAGGATGTAGTTTCATTTGAAACTAACTTAAAAGTTTGGATGATTTATATATGATTAACAAAGATTGGATTGGGGGTCTAGCGACTTAAAAGTTTGGATGATTTATATATGATTAACAAAGATTGGATTGGGGGTCTAGCGTGAGAAATAAAAACCAAATATCCAAGAGTTCAGAGAATCACATTTAGCTTTTTAGAAGGGCTGAGAACTCCATCAAAAATACAACCGGAGAGCAAAAGAGAATGAAACGATGGGTAAAGACAAATCCAAAAGCAAAAGAAGATGCCAAAGAGCAGTAAGTTTATTCTCCTCAACCTATGAAAAAAAGTCTTTGATCATTCTTAGTTAATCACTCACCTCATTCTTGTAGATCCGATCCATTTTTTTTGCAAGTTTTGTGGGGAGCTTTTCAACTCTCTCAAGGAGATCTTGCTCCATGCGGGAGCACACTGGGCCCTTAAAGAAGCCTGAACCATGACTAATATGAGGTATGATTTGGATTCAGATTGATGCACGCCAAGTGTTTGATGAAATGGGTGGAAATAGGAAATGGGGGAAAAAATGGAAATAGACTGCGTTAAACAAACATTTGATGACCTAACTCATACCTCATATTGGTCATGGTTCAGGCTTCTTAAGGTTCTAGTGTGCTCCCGCATGGAGCAAGATCTCCCTGAGGGAGTTGAAGGGCTCCCTACAAAACTTGCAAAAAAACTAGATTGGATCTACAAGAATGAGGTTAGTGATTAACTGAGAATGATCAAAGACTTTTTTCATAGGTTGAGGAGAATAAACTTACTGCTCTTTGGCGCGTTCTTTTGCTTTTGGATTTTGTCTTTACCCATCGTTTCCTTCTCTTTTGATCTCCGATTGTATTTTCGATGGAGTTCTCAGCCCTTCTAAAAAGCTAAATGCGATTCTCTGAGCTCTTGCGTGTTTGACTTTTATTTTTCACGCTAGATCCTCAATCCAATCTTTGTTAATCATATATAAATCCTCCAACTTTTAAGTTAGTTCCAAATCAAACCACATAATCATATATAAATCCTCCAACTTTTAAGTTAGTTCCAAATCAAACCACATCTTTTTCAATCTACACCCTTGAATCTACCATGTCACATCTTTTTCAATCTACACCCTTGAATCTACCATGTATTCCTAAAACAAGGGCTGCTTCGATATTTACTCATCAAATCTTTGTTTATTACCAAAGGCACCCTCAAGTCTCAAGTTTTCATTTCAGCATGTCCGCCCTTCACTGAAAACTGACCCGCTATACTGACTAAACTAACCTTTTGTAGCTAATTAGTTATAAACACCATGTTAATTGACCGCCGTCCCTCTAAAAAAAATCAATCTGGCGAAATTCTCTCTTAAAAACCTGATGACCAGACCCAAGACCTGTTCCAAGCTCTCCTGCCATTCTTCTACCCCACTTAATTCTTCTCCCGTGCCTGCATCATGTTTGAAGCATCATTGGTGCCCAAGTGTTTGTAGGAATGCCTCAACGGGATAATAGCAAGCGTGCAGCATGTTCGTTGCTGTGTTTCATATTGTTACCAATTTGTTTGTCAAAATGCATCAATGAAGCAGAGCGGTGTGCTTTTCAGCTGTCCATGTAGAATACTATCACCCTTACCATATTACAGCAGACCATACGAAACGCAACCAGGGTTATTTGGGGATGAAGATAGTATGAGCTTGTGATCCCTGCGGCCCTCACTATCTTCAAGATTCAGATAAGTTTGCAGGGCTCAGCAAGAAACAACAGGGGGAGAGTCTTGGCCGTGCGCGAGAACCCATCCTAGCGGAGATGGCCAGCAAATTCTCTACATTTTCAATTTCAGGCACATCTCCAACAGAGAATCCACTCCCATTCAAGCCGACAGTAGTTTGTGAGAATTTGTCATCTTCCTCATGGTCGGAGACGAGGCTCGGACCTGACATCGATTCTTTCGTCTCTTTCGTCTCTTCCATCGGACTTCCTGTGTCAATCAGTGCTTTTTTTGCAACAATCAGTGCTTTTTTTACTTTGAATTTTTTTTCTTTCAATTTTTTACATGTTAAACATAAATTTAAGTGCAAGAGGTAGTTATTCCTCTTTGTGTTAGAGGTGTATCTGCACATAGCTCTTTGTTGTATCCTAAAACTTAGTCATCTTGAAGAAATTATAATCAACTCTGATGTAAATAGATGACCATTTAAGACGATTAAAATTGTGAACCATAGATGGCCATTTGAGAGGATTAAAATTGCGAACAACTCCCTTGTGTGTTCTCCTGTTTCTAGCCCGCAATCTAATAAGGCTTAATTGCACTTAAGAACCAAATAGTTCCCTCTATACTTTGCACTTGTATACCCTCAACTGTTTTTAGCGGCACTCCATACCTTTAAAGTTTTTAAAATTTATACTTTAATACCCTCAATTATGTGGGAATGAGAATTTCCCCCAATTTTCCATACGGCGATCACATGCTAATTTTAGAACACATTTTAACTCTTAATAATCGTTAAATTTACCATTAAACCTATCAAAATTATATTTAACATTAGAATTAGAGTAGGTTTAAAAAGGATAACGTTATCTCCAACAGTAAAATTAGTTACCTAACCTAATGAGGCTTAATTGCACTTAATTACCCTATAGTAACCTCCACTTTACCCTATAGTAAATTATATTTAACAAGTTATCTCCTCCACCTAACCAACCGATTTTGACACGGAGGATGGTTGACAACTCACCCGGGAGCGGAGATGTTTTCAACCACGCAGGGGGGAAACAATTGATCAAACACGGATTGAAAACATTAGACAGAATAACGGGGTAGGGGCTAATGTAGAATAAGTAATAGTATTTGAGGGACTAAATAGCAATATAATGTTAAATTAAATGGGAAAAATTTGCTTGGAGGACCCAAAAAAAAATTGGCCCATGCATCCCCTCTCCAACCCAAAAATCATAACCTCCAAGCCCTTAAATTGAAACATAAGTGCAATCAATCCCCAAACAGTGTAGAGGCCCACTGCCCAAGAAATTCTTTTCCAAATTACCATTCTTCCTGATTTAAAACCCAATCTCTTTCCTCCTCAACCTGATCCTAATCTGGTCCTCCCCGACCCTTCCTCGGCTCCGTCCGCCTCCAACATATGTGGTTATAAGTATTATTATGTAGAAGAATATTATATATAAGTATTTATAAGTATATATAATATAGTTATAAGTATTGTTATATATAAATATATTATATCTAAATATATATACGTATACCATATAATTACATGAGTATACTTATATCAGTATAATATAAGTATATAAAAATACATACATATGTAGAAAAAATGTATATGAGCTGACGTCCCATTTTGCACGAGCTGTCCATTATTTGTAAGCTTCGAATTAATCTCACAGTATTTTTTTCATAGCGGGGAGGATCCAAATTCTTTAAATAAGAAAATAGTGAGCTAATTATAAAAAAAAAGAAAACGAGTTTTTACATAGCTTAACCAGCTACGTAGCATTTTTACCTAAAAAATTAGGTACGTAATTTACTTCATTAATGATTCACTTGCAGTTGTTTCAATCACTGTGCTAAAACAAAAAAATAATAGGGGTTTTCTGAAAAAATAACACTACAGTCCAAAACTTGCTCAGCTCGGAACGCTATGACTAAAAGGCGGTACGAGTCGAAGGGGAAGGGGGGGAAAAGAATCAAAAACCTCGGAAATAAAAAAAAGGAGAGGAAAAAAAAACCCTAGTTTTTATCCAAAATCGAAGAATGCGGTGATCTTGTTTCCCCATTTCCAATAAAAATTGCCGCCATGGATTCGACCGACGGATTCAGCGCTTCCCCTCCGAATCGATCCCCAGACAGAGGTGATTAGACCTAATCGTTGCAATTTTCCGTAATTATTCCTGTTGGGATGAAAATTTTTCTCTAGTTTTGGTTGCGATTTAGTGTTATTATTGTGTTTGCGTTTGGTGTCGGTTGAATCTAAATCGAGTTATGGAACTTACTTGGTTACTCTAGAGTTGGAGAATCTATGAAGTCGAAATCTAAATGTATAAGTTCAGAGTTTCACCTTAAATTAATTTATTTTCCATTAATTAGTAGGAACTTTGAACTCCAGAAGTTTCATACACATTAATTAAAAAAACAAAAAACAAAAAAACTGTTCATGTTGGCTGGTTTCCTAAGTAGTGCCTTGAAATCTCATTGGTAAGGGTGGGGAGGTACAATGACGAGCCATAACAAATTTGGTGGGTGTATGACTTAAGTTGAAGAAGTAAAGCTTTTTATTAAGCTGTTGCACCGACTAGACAAATTGTGGTAAGAATACCTAAAAAAGCACGTGGAAAACTCGAGGAGGTTATGGCTTATAGTATTGAGGTTGTGGAGGATTTGAAGAGATTGCTTGGGACCACCCCTCGGAATACAAGGAGATTGATGTCCATCGTAGACATGCGACTAGAGGATCCCCGAGGATGCTTAGTTGATTTTCTGCTCCTTCCTCTTTTATCATGACTTCCTCTTTGATTATTGTTGTTTGTTGCTTATGTATGGCTTTGTTTGGTGTCCATGTTGTGGCTTTTGGTTCATTGGTTATTTGGATTTTGTTACTTTATAACTCCTTTTGAGATCAATCCTGGAGAAAAATGAAAACCTGCCAAGTCTAAACTGTATATTTAAGGCTGTTTTCTTTATTAACATTACCTTCCGTTTGCTGCTCATTCGTAGCCCAATTCTTGACAAAGTGTGATGTGTTGATTCATCTGCTCATATGTCGTGAGTGCTTTTTCCCCAGATGATAATGAAAATTCGACTTACATTAAGATCCTGGTTTCAAATATGGATGCTGGTTGTATAATTGGAAGGGGTGGCTCAACTATTACAGAATTTCAGGCACTGTCTGGAGCTCGTATTCAGCTCTCACGCAACAACGAGTTCTTTCCAGGAACATCGGAGAGAATAATCATGGTCTCTGGTATTATTGATGATGTTATGAAGGCAACTGAACTCATCCTTGAGAAATTATTGAATGAGGTTTTGTTAGTCGAACATTTTATTATCTATGTATGCCAACGCCCTATTTTTTTAAGTTGTGAATGAACTTCCTTTTCATTGGTATATGCAGGCAGGGGAAACTAGTGATGCTGAGATTATATCAAAAGTGAGGCTTGTTGTTCCTAACAACTCGTGTGGTGGGATAATTGGGAAAGGAGGATCGATCATTAAGTATTAACATTTCCCATTATTTAAAAATTTAAGTGGAATTGGCGGAACCTTATGTTTGTTGTTCTATTGAGAGTTACATATCTTTCTGCAATTTGCTTAATGTCTGAAGCTGATAGTATGTAATTGTTATACTAATAGTTTTCCCTGCTTCTAAATGTCACATTTATCATTTTTGTCGCAACTCACTTTTAGTCATTTCATTGACCTCATCTTATGCGTAGTTTTGCTAACTTGAAAGCTCAATGAAAAACAAATTCCCGGTGAGATAGTATGAGAGATATACTTGTAAGATGCAGTTTTCTATGAGATTGCATGTAAAAACTAACGCTGATAGAGGTTTCTCATGCATGAGAATCAAAGTTTTTTTTTTTAAAATTAAAGCACATAGTTTCTCCTGATATGTATATATATGTTTGTGTGTGTCCGTTTAGTCTGTGTGTATGTATGTATGCATGAATTTATACGAATTATACACATATGCCTTCACATGCCTAAATAGATATGTATGAATTATACACATATGCATGCACATGCCTAAATAGATATGTAATTAAATATGCACCTATCCATATGCATATTTGTGCGGATATATAGGCATTTATAAGAGGAGAGAGAGAGAGGAAATATGATTTTTTTGAAGGTTTTTAGGCACTACATGTTACATTCTAACAGGGTTCCCATTATTTCCTTTCTCTTTGTTGTGTGACACTTGGAGCAAAGAACATGAATAAATATATCACAAATTCTTGTGAAGGGGCTTAAAGCATGTAATCACATAGAAAATTTTGATATAAAACCTTTGCTATTGTTGATAAAACCTTTGCTGTTGTTGTTGTTTTCTTTGTTTGTGCCAAAGAATTTCTTTGTTTGTGCCATAAATTTATATCAGATATGTAAAGTTACAGCATTGCATTTCATGTGATTGAGAGACGTAATTGAATGAGTCGGATGCTTTAACAAATTTAGCTTTTATCTTTACGTAATTGAGTTTGTTTAATGAATCTAGCTTTTATTTCCACAGTAGGATATTTTACTTAACTTTGTTTTAATGAAGTTACTGTATTAGTACTTGCTGGTAATTGTTGATATATCAAGATCATACCTGATGCAGGTCATTTATTGAAGAATCACACGCTGGGATCAAAATATCACCTCAGGATAGTAACTTTTTTGGACTGAATGATAGACTAGTCACAATAACAGGGACTTTAGAGGAATGTATGTATGCAATTGATCTAATCATGTCAAAGTTAATGGAAGACGCTCATTATTCATTGTCGGCAGCTAGTCTATATCCCTATGCAGGTATGTGGCACTGTGTTATATATTCATCGATAATATTCCAGATTCCTGTACTGCAAACATTATATTATCTATGGCACAGGTCCAATCATATTTCATTAGAATTTTCATAAGAAAGATATATGTGATTCTCAATTACAATTTTCAGCTTGAACAGCAGTAAGATGATAACTACTTCCAAAGAAACATAGTGTTTATGTCCATCTATGGTTCTCTGGTACCAGTGAGAAGTTAATATATTAGATTTCAAAGATTCATGTCCCTTGTGGATTTGATTCTTTATTAGCTGAAATATGGATCGATTTAACTTTTAAGAGTTAAATAAAAGATTAAAGTAAGAAGTCTCTTGTAGCTTTCAGGGTTTGAGCATGTTCTTCTTTTGCAGTAGTTGTACATATTATCCTATTTCAGCTTAGAAAATTGTGGTATTATAAAAGGATTTGCTATTCAATGCATGGCCCTTCCATTTTTGTAAAGCTAAGAGATACTAGAGTATGTTTGGCAACTTACTTGTTTCTCCTTATAAGTAGTGTTTTTACTTTTAAGGTGCCAATTTGATGTTTGATAAGGGTTACTTATTTTTCTTATTTGTTACTTATAAGTAGGGGAAAAAAGTTGGGATTTTCCAACTTATTTTTTCTCTACTTATAAGGAACTTTCCTTATTCTGGCCAAAAGATAAAAGTACCCTCCTATTCCCTTTGCTTAGTTCAATAATTTCTTATAAAGTGATTAATATTATTAATTAATTAATTTACTTATTAATAATTTATTAATAATTATTTATTTATAATTTATTAATAACTATTTTTTAATAATTAATAATTTATTAATAATTAATGAGTTTATTACCTATTAGTAATTATTATTGTATTTGTATGATATTAATTAATCTCAAAATTACTTATTAATAATCACAAATAGTGTAATATATGAAAAATATTTTTATAAAATATATTTCTTACTATGTGATAACTAATTTTTATATATTAATTAAATATTTTTATTAATAATAATATTTTATTAATATGAAATTAGTTAATTAATCACAATATTAGTAATTAATAATCACAAATAATGTATTATATACAAATATTTTAATCAAATATATTTATTGTTATAATTAATTAATTATTTTAATAATAATAATATCTTACTAATATGAATTTAATTAATAAATATCAAGATTAGTAATTAATAATCACAAATAATGTAATATATAAAAATATTTTAATCAAATATATTTCTTATTATGAGATAACTATTTTTTGATTAATTAATTAATTTTATTAATAATAATATTTCATTACAATGAAATTAATTAACTAATATCAATATTTAATAATCATAATTCATTTGAAATAATTAAATTTAAATTAATTAATTTTTTAAATAAGTAAAATTTTTAATATTATTAATTATCTGGTTAATATAAAATGAAGTCATTAGTCACAATATGGAGTTACAACAATATGTTCTTTTTAGTCATATGACATTTAACACAGCTCTATAAGTTATTAGTATCAAACATGTAACTACTTGTATATCCTTATAAGTTAAAAGGGTTTACCAAACAACTTTCTTATTTTCTTACATACTTATAAGGAGTTTTGAGAATAAGTAATAAGTAACTTATAAGGATTCAAAAAATTAGTAGCAGCCGAACATGCTCTAGGATTAGAAGGCAGATTATGCATTGTCTAAAGATATAGTGGCAGCCTGCGCAAATTATTAGGTAGTGGACTGAGTTTATATTGGCAGGATATATAGTTTCCCAGGGGATATAGATATGGATACTTCTAGTTCTGTGCACTAGTTCAGAACTTTCTTTTTATTGTCTCCCTGACATGCAATACATGCTTTCTGTGATAACTCAGTGACTTCAATTTTTTTTGCCTGCAACTTTGTATTGTTTTTATTTTTTTATTCATTCTAGATAGATAGAGCAAAGCTTTATTCCCTTCTTGCATATTCCATTTTTTATGTGATGGATTTATTAAAAGATTCATGGTTATGTAGGTGTCTGATGTGGTGCGTCTTTGTGAGCTAACTTTGTATATTATTTCTTTCTTTTGTCTACTTTTTGACATTACCCTTTTCATATGTGAGTTGCAAAATGACTTGAAAAGTTTATCTGTTAGGAACTGATTAATATGATAAATTCTTTCTGTTGAAAGTGCCATGAATTTATATCTCAGCTAGAGTGCAAATTCATGCAATTTGAACCTTTCTCTTAGGTTACTTCATGTCATATGGTAAATAATAGTCGGAATATGGTTACTGATGTTTTCTGCTTTATTTTGTGTGCTTAGGCCTTATCCTTAATGGAGGTCATGGTACTCCGTTGGGCTATACTGTTCGTTCAGTGCCATACAGCAGAGCGAATTATGTGCCTAATGGTGTTGGAAAGTACCGTAGCAATAAGGTCAAGTTTAATTTAATATTTATTATGACAGCAATTGTTTCTTCTAGTCTGTTACAGATTTCTTTTAATTAATTAAATTATTATTATTATTATCATCATCATCATTATTATTGCATATGAAAAATGCATGCACATTGCACATTGAATCAGTTTTAGTTCCTGTTTTCATGTAATGACAATATAAAATAGTTAGGAATTAAGCTGACTTCTTCTTCAAGTAGCTCCAATCTTTTTCAGAGGATAGAGAACTCCTGATGCCACCTGGTCATTATAAGGAGCATATGCATTTTCGATACTTTGAAAATGCTTGTACTCCTTGTGATTGGTCCAAGATTCTAGATAAATTTTATTTTATACAAACTTTAGAGACCGCTGGATGTTACAAACATGAATGACATTTGGTTTTCTTGACCGCTGGATGTTACAAACATGAATGACATTTGGTTTTCTTGAGGAGTATTAGTGTTGGCAATTTTATTGATTAGTCAAATTTCTCTGTCAGGGCATGATGCCACCTCTGATTTCGACAAGGTCATCTCCTGGGGGTTCTGAAGGCGAAGGAATTTCTGTGACAATTGGTGTCGCAGATGAACATATAGGTTTTGTTCTAGGTCGAGGGGGGAGAACTATTATGGAGATTATTCAGGTTTGTATTGTGATTACAGGTTTTCAGTCTGCTCTCGTATACGATATAGTCTAAAGCTTCAACAGATTTGACTAGAAGAATTTGTGAGATATGTAACTATAGACATATGCAATGCTTTATCTAATAAAGAGTTTTTACATGAAAACTGCCTTAAGTTTTATCCAAATTGATACTTACTACCTTCCTCTTTTGTTTTTTAATCAAAACCACTGTACTTGCATACATGTTTGCAATGTCATGCCAAATCGATTTTTCAGCTCAAAAAAGACACGAACTTCTAAAAATATCCTCACCCAAGCATGTGCAAAACATTTATGTCCCAATTAATTATAAAATAGTCTCCCAAAGCTTTCATATTTTGATAGTAACCCCCCAAATCTATCATATTTTGAAATTAGTCTCCCAAATCGATGTCGTCCTCACCAGAGAGGGTTATGGGAGGCCGATATCATCAATCTTTTGCTCCTTAGCTAGGTTTTCCCGAGGGGGGGGGGGATTGGATTAGAGGGCAAGAGGGAGACAAGATTAAGGGGAGGTGAGGTTAGGGTTTGGGGGAGGATTGAGGGAGGGTTTTCTTCGATTGGACGGCAAGAGGGAGGGAGGATTGAGGGGAGGTAAGGTTAGGATTTGGAATTGGGAATTAGAGTTTGGGGATTGGGCTAGGGTTTGGGGGAATGGGTCTGGGAATCCATGGCTATTTTTTTGTGAGAGAGAGAAAGAGAGAGAAGGGTGGGGGGAGACTTTTTTTTCTTTTTGTGTGTGTGCGTGCACCCTTAGCCAATTGTTAGGATTGTGTCTTTGATTCTTTGTATAACTTCATGAGAATTAGATAGGGTTGGAGATCTATCATGATTAGGAGATTGAGTCTTGCCATGATTAGGAGTTTGAATCCTATTCTAATTAGGAAGTTAGGTTAGAGATAGTGTTTTTGTTTTCCTATATATATTCTTCTATTGTTGGAGGAAAAACTAAGCAGATTAGAGAGCTAATATTCTTGTAATCTAGGATTAGCAGAGGACGTAACCTGATTCAAGAATATTGTGCGTGAGGTGAGAGTTTCGTAGTCTTTGTCCGTGCAAAAGATTACATCATTAGGAGAGGGTTTCGTAGTCTTTGTCCATTCAAAAGATTATAAGAAGAGGGCTTTGGGGAGAATATGAGAGTTGATTATGTATGTAATGTTGAGAGATTGAGAGACGAGAGTTGAGTGGTTCCTCTTATAGTTCTCCCTAATACATAGTGGATTTCTCGTATTGTTGCCCCGTGGACGTAGGTCGAATTTGGTCGACCAAACCTCGTAAATCTCGATGTTTTTTCTTCTTGATTGTTGATAATCATATTTTATTATAATTTTATACCCTCATTATCTATTTTATATGAATAAATATACCACTAATAATTGCCTTTATCTGTTAATTGCAGGTTAATGATGAATAAATCTCAAACTCCAATATCTCAACAAAAACCCCTTGATTTAATGAAGAAATGAAGCCCATGAAGCCAAAGGAATTCTTTCAAATATTTAATGAAGAAATAATCCTCCACATTGCTGGCGACCGCGGAGCGAAACTCTCGAGCATCCATTAATGACGGCGATATTTCTGCAGTGAAATGTGGGGTCGAGGCGTGTTCGTTGATGGCGTCCGTCGCTTGTTCAAGAGCCAAAATCAAATCGTCTCCACTCATTTCATCGATCCCAATCAACAACAGGAAGATGAAAAAGAAACATAAGTTAAAGGAAGTAATCCTCATTTCCTCGTAATCCTCACCACCCCCCATCACTCTCTTCAAAGCCCCGACGATCTCCTACACCGTCGCCAGCACCGTCCCCTTCCCATCGTCGCCATTCCTGAACCCCTCCCACATCCTCGCCCCTATCCCCATCACCTCCACGACCATCTCTGTGTTAATGAACT